AAAGTATCAGTAACAAGATCTGGTCTTCCTTTGTGGATTTCCCAGGTCGGAGCTTTTTCTTCCTCGCCATTTTTTCAAGGTCTGAAGCTAATATTTGTGAGGTTCGATATTTGTGAGTCGATCCTCCTGGTACTGACGGTGTGACGTTTGTCATCTTGAAGGATTTTGCTTTTCTTGAAATGAGGATTTGTTTCGTGACTGACTCACTCATTTTGAATCAATTAATTGTACGGTTTCGTGTCGCAGTGACTCTTTGATCGGTTTCGAAATCGATTGATCGGTTTCGCGACTCGTTTCAAATCGCTTGATCGGTTTTGTGTCCCATTGACTTGTTTCGATTTCTTTGATCGGTTTCAAAATCGATTGATCGGTTTCATGTCGCATTGAGGCAGTGGGAATTCCCCCTTTTCATTTTATTTCGTCCCCGCGATATTTAACGCGATTTCCCACAACTAGTTGTGGGAACAGATTTTTGCCAAAAATTCCCACAACTAGTTGTAGGAATCTTAAAAAATAGTTGTGGGAAATTCCTACAACTAGTTGTGGGAATTTCCCTCAACTAGTTGTGGGAATTTCCGTTGCTCAGATGTCCGTTATTTTTGCCTTTAAATGTATCACGAAATATCACGAAAACAATTAGAGTTTTTGGGAAACATCATATGTAGTTGTCTATTTTCTAGTCAGTACATATATCAAACGTTGTTTTGTGCGTAGAACAGACAGTTTTCCGTAGAACGGACAGTTTTCCCATAATTCCCAATAAAACAATTAGAGTTGTGGGAAACTTCCCACAACTACAATTAGAGTTGTGGGAAACTTCAAATTTGTCTCAGTACATATCCTACGTGGTTTTCTGTGTAGAAATGACAATTTTCCCACAACTGTTGAGGGAATTCCCACAACTAGTTGTGGGAAGCAAAATTGAGTTGTGGGAAAAATTGAGCTGTGGGAAAAATTGAGCTGTGGGAAAATCTCGCAACTAGGGGAGAAATCCGGGGATTCCCACTGCCTCATTGACTTGTTTCGATTTCTTTGATCGGTTTCAAAATCGTTTGATCGGTTTCGTGTCGCAGTGACTTGTTTCAATTTATTTGATCGGTTTCAAAAAGTCATATTAATTTATGGTGGGTTCCCTGCTGCCAGGGGGGAAGACCCGTGCGCGCAGATCGCGTACTTTGCTAAAAAAACGGTGGGTAGACAGACGAGTTGCGGGGAGTCCTGCAAACCATTTGACTTGATTCGTGGCGAAAGGTGGTTTCAAAATAGCGGAAGTACTGACGTTTTCGACTTTCCGCCAGATAAAAACGAGAAGTATGGAGCACTAAGGGTCATTCTGCTATTTTGATACATAAATACATTTGTAGATGATGAACAGGCAATAAGTACCTACGGTCAAATGCGAAAGAAAGAGATGGCAACGTACTAGAGGGAAGAATGTACGTGAAATCCCTTGTCTGTATTCAAAGTTTTGTGAGAGATCCATTCGTTCAAGACGAGTTCATTTTTACAAAACGATGAAACGCCAGATCATGGATATGGACGACAAAAGCCTTGATTTTCCGGATGCCCCTGGAGCCACCAATGTGGGCTTCGATTCAACGGAATCAGGATCAGATTCACAATCAAGTGACAAACGTGATGAGGTACAGGAGATCCGAAATCAATCTCGTACCGAAGATCGTCGCGTCGATCTGTGGCGGTGGACGCTTCTTTTTCTAATTATGGCAGTCGGTGTTGTAATCACTGCTCTTACATACTACTTCCTGCAGCAAGAGGAACAGAAAGCCCTCAATATTGCGGTAAGTACAGCACGTGTTCCAACCATCATGGTAAAACGAGATCCATTCGTCTCATCATGTCCTTTTATTCAACTACCTCCTCTTGTCACTGCTGAAGTATGATCAGTTCTCCGAGGCACTTTCGGACGCTGCCATCCGGCAACAAGACGACATTCGTGATGCCTGCCGTACCTTTTCAACAGTCATTTCCGATCAAGCAGCTGAAACCAATCAGACATGGCCCTTTGTGGCTTTGCCAAATTTCGAGTCATTAGCAGTGAATTTCCGCAAGATCTCGGGCACAGAGATCTTTACATTGTTTCCCACTGTCACACGAGCAAATACTGACGCCTGGTTGAACTATGCCGACCAGCAACATGTGCCAATGGTGAAACAAAGTCACATGTTGAAATACAAGACCCTGGACAATCTCAAGGAAGTTGGCTACAAGTCATATTTCCAGAGAGCCTCACCCAATGGATTCGTCCCAGATATTGACCGAGACGTCTATCACCCAACGTGGCAGTTTTCACCCCCCATGTTCTCATATGGAGCTCTCAATTGGAACGTCTTTAGTCTTCCCGACCTTGGTGCTGTGTTTGATGCAGTCAAGGTTTTGAAAAACGAGTCCCTGGTATCGGGAGTCCGACCATATGCTGCTGCTTCACTGTCATTCACCGACGAAGAACATGCTCGTATGCACAGCGAGATTGAAGGATCTTCCACCGAATTTCCACACAGCTTCATTTACACTCCGGTTCATCTGGATTCGCAAGACTCCAACAGTCCCATTGTTGCAGCCATTGGTGCCGCGATGGCCTGGGACTTCTCCCTTCGTACTCTTTTGCCAGCTGGAGTGGTTGGAATTCAAGCGGTGATCAAGAATTCCTGCAACCAAAGCTTTACATATGAGATTAGTGGTAAGCGGCCAGGATCCAAGCATGTGGTTCTTATTCCCTCGACCGGGACTCAAATTGTTGTTATCTTCCTGTCCATCACGCAGGATCAGATGCCTACTACGTTGGTGAAGGTGACCTGCACGACGAAGAGTTCAACTATTACGAGCGCGTTGTCAGATTGTCACGAAATAGCCACCCTTACACTGAATCGACAGAAGGACACTGTCTATACTCCATGCATCTGTATCCAGACTCCAAGTTTGCAAGCCTGTACCTGACGGCAGCGCCTCTTCTATTTGCAATTGGGGTGGCTGGGGCTTTCGGGTT